ACCTGCCGCTCGAGCGCCCGGACCCTCCTCGCCCACTTCCCGCCGAGCGGCCCCGGGCTCCGCCGGCCGCCCGGCCCCGTCCGCTCTCCCTCCCCGCTCCCGCCCTCTCGGCTCTTCCTGTTTTGACTCCTCCTTTTCATTCATAACAAAAGCTACCGCTCCGGGAGCCCGGCGCCCGGCTGAATCCGAAGCCCAGCGTGGAAGAATGGGGTTCCTTTGGACCGGCACCTGCATTCTGGTGCTGGTGCTCCAGAGTAGCCCGATCCAAGCCTTCCCCAAACCCGGAGGCAGCCAAGGTAGGTGCACACTTTCCTTCTTCCCGCCTCTCTTTTATTCCGCCACGAAAAGGTAAAGCTTGGCATAATCCGTGAGCTGTAAATCACACTGCCTCATTTTCTGACCAAATCCCATCCGTGAATATTGTCCAAGTAATCGGTTTGAAGTTAGAGACAGAAGATAGATTTTCTTCACTTTTTGAACGATGGAGCAATAACATGGGTTGCTTTGAAAGATCTTTGGAAAAGGGGAAGGGATCTTTTCCACCTAAAGTGGCTTGAATTTTTTTCTAGTTGTCTCTCACCTTTCTCGGATATTCTATTCATAACATATGGAGTATATGATGAAAGAGCTTTTAATGTGCCAATAATACCAATCCAAATTATGCTCTCTCTAGTTGAGAATGGCTGGTAAGCCAAGTGTTAGAACTATGTGTTAGATTTCTGGTCAGAAAAAAAAGTGTGATTCTGATAACTTAGGAAATACACCCAGATGACAAATAAGGTACCACTGATCATTACTGTCATTGTATACTCTTGATAATCTTTGTTAATAGGTATTTTGTTTCGTAGTCATCCAAGATTATTTCTACCAGTATTTGTTTTTCTTTTCTTTTGAAGGTTTTATTTAATAGGAAACATATTTTGTCTTTTCAGTGCACAATTAAATTTATATTTGTGTGTGTTTATTTTAGACAAGTCTCTGCATAATAGAGAATTAAGTGCAGAAAGACCTTTGAATGAACAGGTAGGTCGAAAGTGAGATTGTGAATGCTATTTCTTTTTTTTTTTTTTTTTTGGTATCATTTAATGTAATTATGCTGTGATATTTTGAATTTGCAAACTTCAGGTACTTAATAGTAAATTGACAGAAATTAGGACGGGGCATCTTGTTTTGGTAAATTCTATGACCTATCAGTTATATACATTGAGTTCTTTGTAACACATAGAGCTGACTGTATATAACCCAGTAAACTCAATATCATATCCACTCTGTTATAAGATTGCTTAACCTACCCGAGATTTCTCGTTCATCAATGTTATAGGAAAAAGGAATTAATATTTAGAGCATTCTCTTTATTTTATTTCATTTAATCCTTGTAACAATGCTTTGAGGTAGGAATTATCTATATTTTACAAAAAAGACAACTAAATTCCATGGAGATCAAATTATTTGGCTCTCATACTTGGTAAGTGGTGGAGCAATGATTTTAAACCAGATCTGTCTCCTGTTTGTTTCACAGATTGCTGAAGCACAAGCAGACAAGATTAAAAAAACATACCCTCCAGGTAAAAAGAAGTCATGCTGATGTTAATTTAGATAATGTAGGTTATGACAATCTGAACTAAAATGAATATGTTGGGCTTGGGGCTTCTCTTCCAGAAAACAAGCTAGGTCAAAGCAATTATTCTTCTGTTGATAACTTGAACCTGCTAAAGGCAATAACAGAAAAGGAAAAAATTGAGAAAGAAAGACAATCCATAAGAAGCTCCCCACTTGATAATAAATTGAATGTGGAAGATATTGATTCAACCAAGAATCGAAGACTGATTGATGATTATGATTCTACTAAGAGTGGCTTGGATCATAAATTTCAAGGTAATTAAAAAGAAAACACTGTTTTTGCTGCCTATTTTCTCTAACTTGGAGTTTCCCATAATGGGTTAAGAAAAAGTCCTATATTTTAAATATATCTCTTATACACTCATAATCATTTATTAGTCAAGTTCAGAATTGATATAAGTCCAAATTTACTGATAATGTGCAAAGCCCCAGCTCCACAGAGTCCCACATTTTATTTTCCCTTTAATGGTTTCTTTACTGATGCTTTGAAAATAATTTTTAAATCTACTATCTTTATTTTTTGTTAAGTTCATTTTAACATTCCCATTTATTTTAGCAATTAGTACAAGCAAAATATCATAATTTTGAAATAATCAGCTTGATAAAATATTGCCCCTCCCCCCCCAAAAGATGAGATACCTGGTCAGGTCCTGTAATCTCACATTTGTAATCTCAGCACTTTGGGAGGTGGAGGCAAGAGGATTGCCTGAGCCCGGGGCTTGAGACTAGCCTGGGCCACTTGGTGAAACTTTGTCTCTACAAGAAAATTCAAAAAATTATTAGCCAGGTGTGGTGGCATGTGCCTGTAGTTCCGGCTACTTGGAAAGTTGAGGCAGAAGGATCGCATGAGCCCCGCAGGTTGAGGCTGCAGTGGCCATAGTCATGCTGCTGCTCTCCAGCCTGGGCAACAGAGTAAGACTGACTCAACAAAAAAAAAAAGAAGAAAAAAGAAAGAGAGAGAGAGAGACAGAGAGTGGGAGGGAGGAAGAAAGAAAGAGAGAAAAAAGAGGTGAAATACCTACTATTTCCTTTCCAATGTTCTCTTCCTATCCCATTTTTGTTCCTTAGGTCATCCTAATATTTCTTTTTTTTTTTTTTTTTTCTGAGTCAGAGTCTCACTCTGTTGCCCATGCTGGAGTGCAGTGGCATGCTCACAGTAACTGCAGCCTCGATCTGCTGGGCTCAGGCGATCCTTCTGCCTCAGCCTTCCAAGTAGTGAAACTACAGGCATGTGCTACCATGCCCAGCTTAATTTTTGATTTATTGTAGAGAATAGGTCTCACCAAGTTGCCCAGGCTGATCTCGAACCCTTGAGCTCAGGCAATCCTCTCGCCTCGGCCTCTCAAATTCTAACATTCCCATAGCTTCAATTAAACCTACATCCTGATGTCCCATTTACTAGCCCAGACTTTTCTGAGCAATAGACCAATTTTTTTGTCTACCTGTGTAACATCTTCCCTTGGAAGTCTCAGAAGCACCTCAGACTTAGCAAGATTAAACACATGATCCTTGTTCACCTCACAACCTAGCCTTAGATTACTCTTTCTTTAGGAAAAGCACTTCTATCCATTTCTTAGATTTTCAAGACAGAAATCTAGGGTCAAACTATTTCTCCTTTCCCTCACCTCCCAAATTCTAATCCACCAAATCTTATTCATTTTACCCCCCATGTATCTCTCAGTGTTTTTTTCTCTATCCCCAGTTACTGTCATCCTTGTCCAAGCTGCAATCACGTCTCACTCGAACTACAGCAAAATCTACAGTTCTCCCAGCAACCACTCTGCTTCTCTCCACCTCCTTCTTCATGAGAAAGAAAAGTCAAAGTGGTCTTTCAACACACAAATATGAGCATGCCACTCTTTTTCATAAAACCTTTTAGATTCTCATTTCTCTTAGGCTAAAATCCAAAATCTTTAACTGGCTTCCACAGTTCATACTGGTTCCTTCTACATTTTTAGATTTATCCAGCACACACAATCTGACAGAAACCTTATTTCTTTCCTTCATGGCACTTAATGCAGTTTGTACTTTAGCTTCCTAAATGTGACTACCCAGGGCTAATGTCTTCTCCAAAATGAAACTGAAAACTTCACCCTAGTGCCTGAATGCTAATGAATTCATTGAGTACATTTACAAATGAATGAATGAACAAATGAAGTAATATATGAGGGAATAAATGAACTGCTGTACCTAGGCAGTGAGGAAGACATTGTGTTTTTCATTCTGAGGACCTGTGCTTAGAAGTGATTGCAGGATTTCTTTTCTGTCATTATTCTGTTCCATGGCTACAAAAGAATCATGTTGATTTTCTCTGCCAGAAAATAACTGACAATTAAATTGGACTTTCATAAGACATAGTAGCTTGAGGAGAGTTCAAAAGTGTATTGAGTAGCTAAGAGATGGGGTGGGAGCAATGGGCTTATATTTTGACACATATAATATTCCATGCTACTCAGGGAAATTTGTCTTTTTAACCTCAAATTTGACTTTTTTTTTTTAGTTGGAGTCTCACTCTCTCACCCAGGCTGGAGGGCAGTGGCATGCTCATGACTACCACAGACTTGATCTGCTGGGCTCAGGTGATCCTTCTGCCTCAGCCTTCCATGAAACTGGAACTACAGGCACGCGCCACAATGCTCGGCTAATTTTGGGATTTATTGTCTAGATGAGGTCTCACCAAGTTGCCCAGGCTGGTCTTGAACCCTTGAGCTCAGGCAAACCTCTCACACTGGCCTCCCAAAGTGCTGGGATTATAGGCGTGAGCCACTGCACCCGGCCAAATTTGACTTTTTAGCCTAAAATATTTAGACTAGAAATAAACAGACATTTATTATAACTGCATACAAAACAGATTCAACCACTTTGACTGAACAGACCTTTGATTTGCTTATTTATTTATTTGTTTATTTATTTTTGAGTCGAGATTTCACTCTGTCACTTAGGCTGGAGTGCAGTGGCACTCTCACAGCCACTGCAGCCTCGACCTCCTGGGCTCAGGCGATCCTTCCACCTCAGCCTTCCAAGTAACTGGAACTACAGGCATACGCCACTGCACCTAGTTAATTTTTTTGATTTATTGTAGGGGTAAGGTCTTGCCAGTTTGCCCAGGCTGATCTTGAACCCCTGGACTCAGGCGGTCCTCTCACCTCTGCCTCCCAAAGTGTTGGGATTACAGGCATGAGCCACTGTGCCTGGCTTGATTTAATAAAGCAAAAAATAGTCTAATGTTTGCTTAGCTGGACTAGCCAAATTAGTTGTACATAACAGGCAGAGACACAAACCAAATCTGCTTGTGACTGGACCACTACCTGAGCAACTAACTTTATGTTGTGCAACATTTTTTCCAAACTTACTATCCCAAGTAAGTTTGAAACTACTAAGTGCTAGTCCTGGTGGTTTAGATTTACCTAGGAGTCATTTAACTTCACTTGATTGGGTACAGTGGCCCAATGCCTGTAATGGAGTTCAGGACCAGCCTAGGCAATATAGCAGGACCTTGTCCTCTACAAAAAAATATATAAATAAAAATGAGCTGAGTGTGGTGGCGCATACCTATAGTTCTAGCTATTCAGGAAATTGAGGCAGGAGGATTCCTTGAGCCCAGGAGTCTGAGGTTACAGTGAGCTATGATTGTGCCACTGTACTCCAGCCTGAGACAGCAAGACTGTCTCTAAAAAATTAAATTAAACTTAAAATTCCACTTGAGATCACAGAGAAGCTACGCCAAGATTCTTGGAGAGAACAATTTATGAGTAAGCTTCTGGACTCCCCTCATGCCCTGGAAATCCAAGAACCAGAGGGCTTTGGACCACCAAATTGGACAGAACATCAGAGGCATATAGACTTTATCCCAGAAGGGGGTAAATGAAATTAACTTCTGCAGGATACATACCCAGACCTACTCTCACCTTTAAGAAACTTCCACATGGGCTTGTGCTATAGGACCCATCAATTCTCTTTTCAGTGTTTTCTATATTATGCATGATCTCAGATTTTTCTAAGGGCTCCTATGTGCTCAATAAACACGACTGATCTAGGTAATGTTAAAATGGCTGTGCGGGCCGGGCTCGGTGGCTCAGCCTGTAATCCCAAGCTTTGGGAGGCCAAGGTGAGTGGATTGCCTGAGCCTACGGGTTCAAGACCCGCCTGGGTAACTTGGCGAG